ATCTAGCTTTTTGGAAAAAAAAATATATTCATTTTTTAAATAATTAAGAAACAACAACCAACTTTGTAACTTTTAATCCTTACAGTTAAAAAGACATATCCTAAGCCTAAAGCGTTTTTCCCCTTTCTCTCTCTATACTCTAATTTGCCGACTCCCTCGCCGTCTCTGCGCTTCCCCTCGCCTTCCCCGGCGAATAGCCGGCGTTCCTGCCGGCGGATGACCCTTAGTCGCCCTCTTTTGCCTCGATTTTGGGCTGGCTCCTCACTTTTTGCTCCATTGATGACGAGCGGTTGTTTGGCGGACGGTGTTCGCCGACCTCCAGATGCCGTTCGTGGTGGGGGTCTTCCGGCCTCTCCGGTGGAGTGGATGTGCTGGTAGGTGGTGTGTGATTGGGGTGGGGACGGGTTCTGGCTGCTTTCCGTCATCGGTGGTGAGTTGTCCGGGATTGATGAGCGTGGCTCGATCTCCCCGTTTCTCCGATGTTCTGGTGTGTAAGTCGGGGAAGACCGACACCTCCGAACCTAGTCCAGTGGTGTTGGCAGGGTCCGGGGTTGAGGTGTGTGGGGTGAGGTCTGGCTTCGGTTGTCCGGCTGTGGGTTGGCTACTATCTCGTGGTGGTTCGGGGTGCGGGATTCGGCTTCAGCTAGGCCTATTGGCAGTTCCGGGAGTGGAGTCCTGACTGTGGATCTTGCTGTGGGTTGGTTGGCCTTTGTTCTGCCGGTGCCTTGTGCAGGACTCGGGCATTTCAGCCGGGGAAGGGCTTTATGTGCCGTTTATTTTGGTTTTTTGTCGTTTGCTTATGTTGTGTTTAGTGGTTTGTGTGTTTTTGTTTGGTGTTTAGTTCGTTGTGTGTCGTGTTTTTTCTCCTGTTGGGAGCTGAATTCTCCTGTTGGGAGCCTGTGAGTGTGTTTTGTGTGTTAGTTTTATGTTTGTGATCCGATTAGGCTGCCTTGTGGTTGTCCTCCCAAGGATTACAGGCGTGTAGCTGCTCATTCCGGCTGTTACCGGTTGTTATCCGTTTGTAAATTTGTGTTCTATTTATGAAATTATGCCATTGGAAAAAAAAAAAAAATCCTTACAGTTAAAAAGCTCTCTAACTCCCGTTCCCAAAAATCGCCGTAACCCTAGCCAATCTGCTCCTTTAATTTCGCCGGTTAAATCTCCCTTGCCGGACGCCCGGGTCCGTCGGTGGATGGCCTCCGTCGCTCGCCCATGGCGGTGCTGCCTTCATCTCTTTTGCTGAAGTCTGGTTCTAGATCGCGCGTCGACCTTCGGAGGTGCTCCCTTGGTGGTCGCCAGAGACCAGGCGTTGTCGGTGAAGGTTGGGGTGCGAGGCTGGTTCATGGGCGAGGCTGGGTTCGCTGCTATCTGCTTTGGCTGGGTCGCCAATTATTGACCTTGCTCACCCTTCTTGCTGCCGGTCAGGACCGTGCCCTTTCGCTGGCGAAGCGGCTTTCGGAAGGGGCTTCTTCGGTTTCGACACCTTGCTATGTCAATTGGAGGTTTGCCCTTGAATTTGCTGCTTTTGTCTCGGTTTTTTATATTGTCCATGATCTGCGGAACCTCTCAGTTCTTCTTTGGCGAGATGGGTCTGGAGATTCACGATGGGGGGTTGTAGCTACTGCTGGGATCAGGGTACTGCTCCCCGTTAGTGCTCGGCTGCTTGGTTGTGTTCAGGCACTTTGGGCTGGGATGAATAGTTGCGGTTTCAGGCGGGCTGACTCGGTGAAGCCGAGCCGTGTTGGGTTTCTCACATGACTGGAGTGCGAGCCAGCTCTTCGGTTGGTCCTGGGGTGTGGTCACCCATCTTGCTAGGCCTTAAGCAGTGGTGGGCGGTTATTTCCGCGCTCTGGAGCTGCCTTTGGAGTTGGTTTGTCTGCCGTAGATCTAGATGTATCTGGTGGGGGAGGTTGTGCCCTTTTATATTTTGTCTTAGTTATGATTGATTTGTGTTTCTGTTATTAATGTTTTTTTAGGATTGTGTTTTTGGTCTGGGCCGTTGGCCTTTGTGAACCCGAGTATCACCTTATTATCCCATTGGGATCCGACACTCGGGTATTACTCTGTTGGGGTAGTTTTATTTGGTTTTAGTTGTTTTAGTTGGTTTAGTTGGATAGTTTAGTTGCGAGTTTTATTCTAGCATTGCTAGCCAGGACTCTAGGCGGTCTTCTGACCTGTCCTCCCACTTTTTCAGCTGTTGGCTGCTGTGTATTCAGCCGTTGGCTGCTGTGTATTCGCACATTTGTGCATTTTGATTTATAATATAATTTATCGTTTTGGAAAAAAAAAAGAAACAACAACCAATTAACTACAAGAATGCTAGAAACATATAAAATTGTGTATATTGTTCATTCAAATCCACTGTTGATACCAGATTCGAAATTATGCCCATTAAAAGCTCCTCGGAAAGATTAGTGAAGACTGTTCGGGCTAAGCTCTGAAAATCCGATTTGTGAGGAGTTGTTTCCAGGGTCACCTCGGTATCGCGACGACACCTCGGTATGAAGGGCTCACCGAGGAGTCGGGAGGACGTTCAAACTCGTAAAGAAACCGAAGTCCGAAAGAACCGACTTCATGCCGACAAAGTGCGACGCCTGTCAATCAACTGATGGGCTGCCCATACTGTTATCATTGTCTATACGCCTGCTTACGTAATAGCCGCCGCTATGTTGTCAACTCGCATTAAATGCCGCTACATCTCCTCAAAAGGTGTGCAGAATGTTACTATAAATAGCCGCATTTAATTCAATACGAGGATCGAATTCCGACACATTGAATTCTAGCATTAATCACCTCGGTTCTCCACAAAACCGACCTCTTGTAATAGAGAAACGGACCTCTCCATAGTTATTACCAACTTCGAGAAACTTAATAAAAATCATACTTTCTTCAATTTTGGCTGTTATTTATATTCTAATTACGTTGTTAAAATCCATTTATCAACATCCAATAAAAAAAAATGTTCGATACGCTACCACCAAAATTAATAAGTATATGTATTTTTTTCTCATTATTTCCCTATTGTTCTTTTGTGTGCTCCTTAAAGTATTGTTTCTTAATTTGTGTAATTTTTTTGGGAATGCTACAGCCCCGTTGGGGAATGGTTCCCTCAAATCAATATAAATCATTAGATCTTCTAGTTTTGATATGAACCCTTAGATGTAGACAATTATAGGTGATGTGACAGTTTCTTATTGGAGTTTAAAGTAGGAAAATGGTCCCGTTACGGGATTGTAGCATTTTCTTAATTTTTTTATTAATGAATTATTAAACTATTTATTTAAGTGTTATATCTAAGTCATAGTATTTTTTTTTTCTTTTTCAGTGTGGGCACACTAATTAGCTCCATTTAGCTACACTCATGATGGCTCGTTTGTCTTGTCCAAACATTTATCAAACACAAAATGTTTGTGAATCCTACTACGTTTGAGTTACTTAAATTAATTATTACACATATAACAATTAGAATTAATTATTCAATATAAATTGATTTTGAGATATTTTTAGGTATTCTATTTCCGAAAAATGAAACTGTAAAACGCCGAGAAAAATATTTTTTTTGTTACAAATAATTCACATAATAAGGCCATATTGCTACATTCAGCTATACATCGGGTTTCATGTGAATTGATCTGATCTTATTTTTCTTTTATAAGTCACCACAAAATAAACTTGTGATGGTAGCTAGCGTGGGATATTTGGTTCCTTTCTCGTGACTGGTTTGTGTCATTTCCAGTGAGCCCACGAAAGGGGTGAAAAATAGAAAAATGAAATAAAGAAAAGTAGTTATTTTATACAAGCATTTGTTTTGGTTTTTGAGTGAATATGGCTACTTTTTGATGTTTCTCATGTGGTTGTGAGCAAAAAGCAAACACTACATGGCTGCGATACTCTATCCCGTGAAAACAACATGATTTCACGGAACATAAATTGTTTGGAGGTACATAAAATATTTTGTCAGCAACTTTTGCACAAAATGCCCACCAATTAATAAAATATGGAACATTTAGCCCAAATATATACGTGAGTTAGTGGGTAATTTTTGAAACTTTTCTATATGTAGTTGACTAGTTGGTGATAGTTTTTACCTAAATTTCTCATTTTTAGGCACGATATGCTCGATTTGAATTAATTAGTGGGCATCTTGCATAATTACAAAAGTTACTAGGTAAAAATTATCATTTGCTTGAAGTTGCTAGATATATTTTGCAATTTTTCCATCTTCAAACGGTCATATTTATTTCATCAATCTTGCTTTAAATACCTAAATTTCATTATCCGACCAAATTACAAATACTACCTCAATTAGTGTAGGCGAACTAGTTATGGTTCAAGGGAAACGTTTGTTGGTCTTATATATATATATATATATATATATAGATTCTACATTGGCATAGATACACAATAATAAATACATTATTTCAAACATCTATATATATGTATATAATCTGTGGTCATCCACCTGCACTCCCATAAGTAGTTAAAATTTCTTAATTATCAGAAACAACGAGTAATACCATTACTAGCGAATACTCGCTCATAATTAAATAAAATGTCCAACTTCCTTGGTAGCTTAAAGAATTAAAACAAAAATAGTAGAAAAGTAAAAAAAAAATCCTACTAGCTAGTAGCTACCATTTATCTACACGAATTATCCAGCTGATTCTTGATCTGGTGGTTGAGATTCACTTATAACTAATTACTCCACAACTGAAAGTGGTCCACACAATCACTATTCACGGCATCAAAAATTTTAGTCCACACAATATATAGGCAGTCACAATCCCATCCCATCCCATCCCACCCCCCTCGTAACAACATCACACACTATATATAAATATAAACCAACCCTTAGTAACACCTCGTATACAATCAATCATTCACAAACAAGTCAAATCCCAACAAACATAGAAAAGAAAACCTATTCAAGTTCGAAATCGTAAATTCATCTCCAACTCAAAAACTCTGTCAGTCGTAAATTTCATTAACCTGAATCATACATGGCTCCGAATCGAGACTCCACGTTTTTCAATCCCTTACCAACACCAATTACACCAAACAAACCCCCAAAGCTCTCCAATATCGAGCGCACGATCTCCGACATCTCCTTCGAGTTCACGGCACACCAAACTCTAATCAACGACGACACCAAAATTAAGAATAATGATAAATATTATAATAAAGAAAATCCTGATATGGAGGTTGAAGATGCCGAGTGCGAGTGCTGCGGAATGTCGGAAGAGTGCACGCCCGAGTACGTGAGAAGGGTTCGGGAGAAGAATTGCGGACGGATGGTGTGCGGGCTGTGCTCGGAGGCCGTGAAGGAAGAAATGGGAAAAAATGGGGGGAGTCGGGAGGAGGCCGTGCGGGCCCACGTGAGCGCCTGCGCAGGGTTCAATAGGGTCGGGCGGGCTTTCCCAGTGCTGTGCCAGGCGGAGGCCATGCGGGAGATCCTGCGCAAAAGCCGGGCCAAATCACTCAGTCCCCGGGACAAAGGGGGCACTACTAATAATAATAAAAGTGGAACAAACTGCCGCATATTGAGGAGCTCCAGTTGTATTCCGGCGATATCCAAGGCCCAGGCGCAGGCCCAGAGAGATTGACTTAGAGAAGCAGATCGCGTGGATTTATGTGTTGAAATAATATAATTGGTTGCTTTTCAATTGATTTATTAGTATTAGGGGTTTTAGGAGGGATCGTTGATTGACATACATAACTAATAATGCCATCTCTGCACTTGATTGAATTGCGCATGCATTAGTTAAATGATGCATGCATGTAGTCTTATCGTTAATATGTGTATGGTACTGATCTAGGATTTTTACTTGGGGGTTCCAATTTTAAATACAAAATAACGAGCTTGTAATTTAAGTCAAAACACTCATTTCATATAAAAGTGTATTTACTTATAAACATAAATATCGATATATGTAACATCAAGTTTTAAAAAATTTGGAATCTATATCACCATCAAAGTTTTACAAAAATAAACAAAAAATAATAGATTTCATGTATTTATAATTTAATTTCAACATCTATAATTTATAAAAAAAATATGTTTTTTGATTTGAAATTTGATTTAAATTTAACATTTACAGCACGTTGCATTGCATTTTTCTTGATTAGAGCTTGTCAAACGACCACTATTTTTAAGAAAAAAATAAATAAAATTAAAAATATGTGATTACACAAAAAAATAAAGTAAACAATAAACATTCAAAAATCTAACAATCCAACTAAATACTCGGTTTCATAAATCACTAAATCGATTTACAATTAAGAGGCCGAAAGAGTAAATCATTATAAATATGTTTAAAAATTTATCTAATAATGTAAAATATAAGGATCGTTAGTATATTTTTCAATAAATAGCATAGAAACTAAGTTTTAATTATTTATATTAATTTAAATTAAAATATCATATAAACTAAGTTTTAATTATTTATATATTATAAATATTTTTTTATATTTTTGTCTATATATTATAGTGTTTTATTTTTTATATGTATATATATATATATATATAATGATATTTTAAAAAAAATGAGGGGGTTCATGGGCCCCTGGACCCCATGTGGATCCGTCTTTGATGGTCTTTCATATCATCATGATTATTATATACGTCTAATGCGACAAGTACTTTTATTAGAAAATAAATGAAATGGTCAAGAGAAATTTAATAAGAGAAATATGTACCTAAAAAAGAGGACCTTATAAAAAAAATGTAATCATACAAAATGCAAAAAAGTATGTTATAATTTCGTTAATATGTAATTTGTATTAATAAACACGAGAAATTCGTACAAATTGATTTTCAAACGGATCAAACAAAATATAATGGATTACAAATCTCTATTATTGTTCATCTGATTAAGGTACTAGGAGAGAGAATTATTTAAAGAGATAGTTAGGAGAGAGTCTTGAGAAGAAGACTTCAATTTGATTTGTTAATGAATTTTCAACATTTATCTCTTTAATAATTATTAAAAGTCATAATTATTTATTTACTCTCCAAGAAAATGACATGTGATATTTTTTAATTGGTCTTTAAAATATACACGTGTCCGATCAGATATCGGCCAGTTTAAGATTCAGTTTCAGTACCAGAACAGATTTCTGGTTCCAGTTACCGATCAGATATCGGTTTATGATTATCTTTATTCAGTACTCATCCCCATAAGTTTATTTTCAGGTAACAGGTCGAAGAGGAGGTGTGAGTGGAGCAGTGTTAGTGTGGTTCGTGGATTCAGATTATGACAAGTTTTTATATGGACATTTATAACAGTCTGTATAATTAATCACGTTTTTAAGTATTTCCGCTACGTACATTAAGACTTGAACTTGCATTTTAATAAATTTCAGATTTCAGTTTTTACCATTTCAGAAGTATGAATATGGTACAGTTAGATGCAAGTTTAAATAAATCGGTTTTCTTTGTGTCTAAAGAAGTATTAGACAAAGTTTAAAGATAAACGGATTTTCAAGAAAGATAAGTTTGAGTAGCATCCCGAGTTAGTCGCAAAAGATTTCGAAAGATTTATAAGTATTTTTGAAGTAAAAGTTGCGAAAAATTTACTCTGATAAGCGGTGTGTTACAGGTGGTATCAGAGCTAGAGTTTAAATGCTCTGTATACTAAAAGTTTAAGTTTCTGAAAGAAAAGTTTCCAGAGAAGCCAAAGTTTTACAGAAAGTATCAAGAAAACTCAACCACACCTCACTCACACCTCGCCGACTACCGGGTAAGTGCTGTTAAAAGTTCTATAAAAGTTTTTAAATATATTAAAATTTACTAAGTCTATGCTCAATAGGATTTCAGATATCCAAACTCTAGAAATCAGTCTAGATGTTCAGATTAGTATTAGAGAATCTTAGTAGTATCATATATATCTTCCTATCAGAAGTCAGAACTATAGTTAGAATTCAAGTTTGAACTCTGGTTTATCAAGTTAATCTTAACAACTAGATCAAGAAAGAGACCCGAACATTCTAAGTTAAGCCATCAGATTAAGTTTTGAGTTAAGATCTGACTCTAGAGGTTGACTATGTATTTGAGCCAGTATCAGAAGTAACAGTTTTTCAGTGTATAATAGCCATAAGTCCGGGTAAATCACGGGGGATTGAAATAAGAACCATAAGTCGGATAAGATCCTGGAGGCTTGAAACTGAACCGTAGAAACATAGTTACAGAAAGTAGTTTATCTTTAGAGTCAAATGTTGGGTATCTTATCAGTTAGATATCATGAACTAAAATTGGCAAAGTTCGAGATCAAGTTATCAGTTATTCTGTATTAGTACTTGTAGTATAAGTTAATGAGTATGAGTTTAAGGTATCGACATATAATAGTCACTTAGCTGGGTAAATTATGGAATCCTGGAATAAGGGTTATTAGTTCGAGTTTACCTGGAGACTTGAAGTCGAACCTTAATAGATAGCAGTCATCCAATAAGTACTCACTTGAGTCAGAAGCAAGAAAGAGTTAGATTAACTGGAACTCTAGCACAAGCTAGGTGTTTTCGGCAAATAATTGAGAAATTCCTTAAGTCTAGTGTAGTTATTTATTAATTGTTATACTGATTAAGTCAAATGGTTAGTGGTTATTCAGAATGCCTCTAGGCAGAGATTTAAAACCACAACAAGAGTAAAGTTTTAGAAGTATGAAATTTGGACTGAATCTAGAATTTCTCAGTCCAAAAGTCAATATCAAGTATAGATCAGAAGAAGAATACTTTTGAGAAATCAATATACTGAAAAGATAGAAATTCTAGTATCATTGAAAGCACACTGTTGAGGATTCAAAGCACACTGTTGAGGATTTCAAAGCACACTAAGACAAAGATTCGTGTAGATTCAAAGCACACTGTTGAGGATTTCATTATTTCTAACAAGCTAGTACAGAAGTATCAGAAACAACAAAAAATTGAGATACAGACAAGTAATCCTCAACTAATACAAGGTTATATTACATAAAAGGAGGGTGCGTCTCAAGAGCACAAGACTCCATAACTCTACCACCCATCATGGCTGTAGTTTCACAAAGATAGATCTAAAGGATCAAAGGCTCGCTTGCGTTTGAATCCTTGAGTTTTCATAGAATATAAGTTCAGCGGATGTGTCAGCAGACTTGAATATTTCTCTTTGGAAAGGAGATATAAAAGTTTGATACACTCCTTCATCTAGAAATCCAAGCAAGTTGTGGAAAAAGTTATTGAAATTCAACAAACCAATAGGTTTGGTATGAAATTTCACTTCTGCCCAAGTAGCAAGGGTGAAGACAGTCATTAAAGTTCCATATCCACCAGGAAGAACGATGAAAGCATCGCAACCAGATATCATAGCCATCAAACAGTCATAAATTTAAAGAGTTGTCATCAAAGTAGCAGAGTCTTTGACAACCTTTGAGGAAGTGAGATAAAAAGGGAGGATACTTCTCACCTCGATATCAAAGCATTTAGCAGCCATTAAAAGGTTATCAAAGAAATAGATACTAGTCCCTCCGTAAAGTATGTTGATCTTTTGTTTTCCCAACTCTTTCACCAGTTGGCTTACAACATGGATGTTATGAAGGAAGTTTACATATCTAGAACCACCAAGAACACATACAGTTCTAATTGGATGAAGAAGTTTGATACCTTGAGAAGACCCGGCAATAGTCATTTATTATGAGAGATACTTGGCTATGAAGATAGATTCGCCTTTTAAAGAAGGGAAGTGCACACAAGAAAGTAGTTGAGAATTAAATGAATCTTATCTGTCAGCAGCAATAAGATTTATGTACAGTACATGTGTACTATCAAGAACAGTGTTGACAAACAAGATCTTTGGAAATAATATTTTCCAGACTATAGAGTTTAAACAGAAGCCATAAAGACATCAGTTCTCGATGCACATATCCACTAGAATGTGTCTCAAGAATCTGATGAATAGTAAGATCAAGAGATTCCTTACTCAAGCCATTCTTTATGAATGTTATTTTATCTTCCCGATTATTTGACACAAAGCCTAAAGAAGTACAACAAGTATCACAGTTCCAACGAGCGCATTTATAGCAACCGCCTATTCTTTTTGCTCTACGTTTCTTGGCAAAGGTGCTTCTACCCATACTTGTCATATATTTATATGCATTGGGATAATCGCCAGACAAACGAACTTTTGCTTCAATCAGCCATCTAATATCATTTGGGATATTATTGAGCATTGGTGTTCTTGATCTTTCTACACGAGCTCGATAAATTCTTTTTATGATATTAAGGGGGAGAAAGGAATAGAATTTTCGAATTTGTAGCAGTGCTAAATCCATTGGTGAATTCGGGCCATTGCTGAAGAAGATTGAAGGATTACCAAGTTTGTTTATAGAAGAGAGATGAGTATGAGATAAGTTTTCGGTCATAATTTTTAACATTAAATTATACCAAATGTCAGAATGCACAACCAGTATGCATTTAATACAGCCAAAATCGGATGTGAGATGTCTGCAATAACTGAGATGTTGCTGAGCCTAATTATGACAGTTGAATTATTAGAGGTAAATTAAGTTTACCTTAATGATAGAAATTGTGGTATGATCAGAAATGGGTAAGTTATTCCACAACAGTACAGAAATTTCAACGAAATTCTCGACTATAGTTAAGTCGGAGAAGTTGAAGTAAGAAAATATCGATAGTGGTATTGAGTAAAAAAAAAAGTTTCTCGGTAGAGAAGCAAGTAAGATGCTAGGAAGTGATATTGACATTGAGATACAGTACATGCAGATGTGTCGCATAGTCAGGTCCCGAGTCATAATAGGTCTCGCCAATAGTATTTGGCATTTCCATCTATACTACCGAAAGGTAGATAGTAAAGAAAGATGATAAACAATTGAGTAATTAGCCTTGATGAGAGAAAGGCTTAAGACAGATTAGAACCGACATAAGTCTTCGGTCTATAAGCATAGAAGGATATGCAGTTTGAAGTATGAGATAAAGTATTTCTAAAAAAGTTCGACAATTGAGGTGTCGTTCATTTAGAAAGAAAGAGAAGTTAAGTTATATCCTCGTTATATAAGTATTTTAGAAATTATGGAATGAGCCAGATAAGTATTCTATAGATTAAATTCTCCTCTAAAGTTGTCCAGTGTGCATAATGTTTTTCGTAACAATGTTACGTAAGTATGTTTGCGATTCAGAGTATGTGCTTTTGCATAAGGAGTATCAGTTAATTTACGAGGAGCAGCCGATAGCAGTTTTGGACCGAAAGGTTCATGGGCTGAGGAATCGAGATATTCTCCTCGTTAGTATAAGAAGGAATCGCCACATAAAGTTAGATGCCACTTGGGAGTGAGAATTTGATAATAGAGCTCGTTTTCTAGATTTCGAGTTTTGATATATACATAGTTGTATGTATCCCAGTTTCAGTATTTCCGAGGGTGGAAATAGTTTTAAGGGGGGTAGATTGTAATATCCCTTTCAGTTATAATAAAGTGACAGTTTTAGTTTCAAGATTTAACTAATTTCGAGGCCAAGATATTCAGTTATAAAGTTAGAAATTAAGAGTTGTTCAAGGAACAAGCCACACGAGTCGTGTGGGAGGAGCCACACGAGTCGTGTGAAGCCACACGAGTCATGTGACAAGGCACATGAGTCGTGTGGGAGGAGAAGAAAAGAAAAGTTAGCTTCGGCTTTTTCACACGAGTCGTGTGACAAGGCACACGAGTCGTGTGGAGTCACACGAGTCTTGTGACCGTAGCCACACGAGTCGTGTGACCGACAGTAAGGTCTGATTATTGAGAATCCGATTGTGATCTCAACCAGAGGCCATTTTTGAGGATTAACTATGTATTTGAGAAGTATACAAGTTAGTCTTTAACTAGTTTATGTTTAATTATGTTTATAAGTTTTATTTTGTTTATTATGTTAATTTCTTCACTCCATCATCATGTCTTGAATTTGTGCCTATAAATAGAGGCTTAAAATTCAAAGTTTTTACACCAAAGAGAATTACCAAAAGTTATATAAGTTTATAAGAGAGAATAAGTAGTAGAAATTTTGGTGAAGTGAAGAATTTGGAAGTAAAGAATCAAGTTTCGATTCTAGCAAGAAGGAGGTAATTTACTTATCTTAAAGTTTCATACTAAAGTTCATGCTTTGAAAATGAGTTTAGATGTTTATGAGTATATATCATGATTTAGAAGTTGAGTTTATAATTGATTCTATGAATACAAGGAGTTTAAGTTGTTTTAAGATCAATTACATGATATATGTGTTCGATTTGATTTATAGATTGATAAAGATAAGAATAATCTGGAAAGTATGATTCAAATGATTGATTCTTGTGTAAAAGAGGAGTACATAAGAACAAGAATTAAGTTATTTGGCATAGTATAACCTGAGTTATAGATTTTTAAAGTTGAACATGCAAGCTGAATTTTATGTTCACTGTTTTAGTTGTGACTTTAAATTCTAATAACTTGATGAATATGCATGTTAAAATTATGAACTTTTTATGACATCTCTAATTATGAGTTAAGAATATGACTGTTAAATTTCATGATTTAAAGTTGAGAAATGAATGAGTTAAGATAATTAGATGGCATATATGTAAAGATGAGTTTATATGCAAGAATATTCATTATATGTTCAAGTTTTAAAGTGAGATTATTATGAGCAATTCTCATATAAGTGATGAGCAATTTGACAAAGTTTTAGTTTAATATGTTGAGTATATAATTTTATAAAGATTGTTTTAAATCTCGCATATTAAGATCATAATTTAATGTTATGATTAAAAGTTGAATTGTATAAGTATTAAGTTGAGATTTTAGTATCAAGTAAGTTTAAGATAAGTTTAAGAGTTTATAAAGTTTTATAAATCATGAATATGATGTTGGTGAAGGTTAAGCATGTTTTGAATTCAAGTACTCAATCAAGTATAATGTGAAATTTAGTTATTTTCACACACGAGTTATTTAAGTGACATGCGAGTATAAGCCAATATCTATAATTTTGAAGACATGATTTATATGGGTTAAGTAATTGATCTTGAGTAAAAGTTCAAGAAAAGTTAAGTTAAGTATTCACCTGAGCAATAGCATGTCTATTGAATCTATTTAAGATTTGGATAAGTTAGAATTAAGAATCCCATCATTTTATTGAGTGTACGAGTATAGTACATAGTATATTTGTTTATATTTTTATGTAACTTGCAGATATAGTTATCCAGTACATCACTTACCGTTTTTCAAAAGTTTTCAAAGAAAAAAGGTGGGGACCCGGAGTGGGTATTACATTGAGTAAGATATTGATATCATCTAGTTTATACGCTCGGGATGAGAAGGCTTTCAGTTGCCTTAGAGTATATCCTAAGTTCTGATGGAGGCCCCAAGTTGTCTTGAGAAATATCCATCAGAGTGTGCACACGTATCCGATCAGATATCGACCAGTTTAAGATTCAGTTTCAGTACCAGAACAGGTTTCTGGTTTCAGTTACCTATCAGATATCAGTTTATGATTATTTTTATTCAGTACTCATCCCCATAAGTTTATTTTCAGGTAACAGGTCGAAGAGGAGGTGTGAGTGGAGCAGTGTTAGTGTGGATCGTGGATTCAGATTATGACAAGTTTTTATATGGACATTTATAACAGTCTGTATAATTAATCACGTTCTTAAGTATTTTCGCTACGTACATTAAGACTTGAACTTGCATTTTAATAAATTTCAGATTTCAGTTTTTACCATTTCAGAAGTATGAATAAGGTACAGTTAGATGCAAGTTTAAATAAATCGGTTTTCTTTATGTCTAAAGAAGTATTAGACAAAGTTTAAAGATAAACGGATTTTTCAAGAAAGATAAGTTTGAGTAGAATCCCGAGTTAGTCGCAAAAGATTTCGAAAGATTTATAAGTATTTTCGAAGTAAAAGTTGCGAAAAATTTACTCTGATAAGAGGGATGTTACATGTTAACTAACACTTGGTATTTGGATGTTCAAAAAATATTTGCTTTTTGTGTTAACTAACACAAACAAAATTCCATTTTTACCTATGATTATTCTGCTAAGTTGGAATCGGAATTTCAATGATGTCTTTGTTGAGGCATATCTATCTTCATAGGAACTGGGATTGATTTAATAAAATTGGGCCTGAGTTAAATAACTTGGGATAATCTTACAGATTCTATTAATTCCTTTTCCTAAAACTAATGCCATCTACTAATTAGTGAGTACTTTTGATGAACTCTGTACATGGTATAGTTTTGAAGTTTTAATTATCTGTTGACTTTTACGTTGTAATGCGGTAGGAACCTGTGTGTACTTGTAGAATGATACTTACAGATCACTCTAGGCAAGGAAATTGCTCGTGGATGTACTGCAAGGGTGCCGAGGATAGGACAGGGTCGGGACCACAACCATGGCCAAAGAAATTCACCACCTAAGATCGCGACTGATTTTGGTTTGTGATTCTTATACCAACTCTTGCTCTTACTTTCGCCAATGTTCTTTGCTTGAATGTTCCAAACAAAATTCCCTTTTTTCTCTAATTATTATGCTTTACTTGTCATAATTAGTGTGGATTATTGATGAATTTAAAACCTGTTTTCTTATTCAGAATCTTATTCGCCAGCTGTTTGTGATTCTTTATATAAGTATACTTGCTAGGCTAATGATACTCACTATTCTAATGTGATGACTAATTCATTGGTTATTGCTGCTGGAAAAACATGTGAAAGAATGTTTTGGTCTTCTGATGTTGGATATAACTCTGCACAATGGGAGCCTTATCGTACAACATGAAGTTCTTTTATACTATTTACCTAATGTGTCAATGTGGTATTTCACCTCCGGTTCTTTCAACATTTATGGATTTCTTGGTAAAGCATATTGGCCACTGTGCCTATTTTTATTTTCATGAGGCGAGCATATACTTAGTTACATTATATATATATATATGTATATATATTTGTAAAATACAATAGGCTCTTGTTATGTTATAGAGTAAAATAATAGATATAAGAATGAGCTTTGACTCCCTCACTTCAGTATGCATTCATTCTTGAAGACAAGGGTTTGTGAAAACAATATTAATAAGTGGAAATGAAAATAATGTGACTAAAAATGTGTGATTTCAAAGCTTCATGTCATTGCATGTAATGTCATGCGCCAATTTGTAGAAGCACTTGTTCGTGCTATCTAGCTGCGGAGACCATGAGGACATATGGTTACAACTCTCAGGTTTTCAAAGATGTCGTTTAGGTATAAGTTTTGACTTTGGATCTTTTTTACAGTTTTTATTCTTTTTCTTCTTTATTAATTTTATAGAAAATAATAAAATTAAAAAGAAAATACAAAACTTCTACGTTTAGTGACATACCTATGATATACGTATTGCTCCTTAGAAGATACCTATCGAGTTGAAAAACTTTAGCCATATACACATTCTCTTGGTATTCTTCTTAATGTATCTTCTTTTAGCTTAAGGTTCGTTGGACTGTGGAACTAGCGATTTCTGAGCGTCGGTCAAATGGTGTCGGAAGTCGAGAAACAGCTATGTATATTTAGAGGTAATATTTATTTCCTTCTCATAGTTGAAGATGTTTACTATTTGGAATTCACTCACGACTTTATATTGAAAAGTGAAGTTGGATGCTCAGGTCATATTTATCGAACCAGGTACTTATGGCTTATGCAATCTCTATGTCTGCTCAACAAATGAGTGGCCTGTACATGTCAGTTGTGAAGAGATTACTTTGAAGTTAGGATACTCATTCGCCATGAAGTGATTACTTACAATGACAATTTATCAGTTATATTATCTATCTCCAGCGTTGGAAGCCTATACGTTGTCAAACAAAAAAGTGAATGATTTTCATGTAATTGAACTATAGTAAATTTTGTTTGACAAACTATTTGCTGCTTATTTATGCATAATGTTGTGCTTTTCATTTTGCTAATTGGTAATTGGTTGTTATGGTGGTGTATTTTTGTTTTCAATTTTCGTTGTATTTTAACGTTGTGCTTTTTATTTGCTATTAATAACTTATAATAATGTCTTATACAGAACATCACTTGGAAATATTATTACAAATAAATTACATAATTATAACTATTACCATACAAATAAATAAAAGTGAATTTGGGGCCGGCTGTGCACAGAGTCAAACTAGTTGAAAATACAATCTATACTTATATAATAAGGGGTACCATTTACTAAATTTAGTAAGTTGAAAAGTCAATGCAATAAATGCATTACTATTTTGAGCAATATAATATTATATCATATCTATACTTATATAAAAGGAGATTCTATTTACTACATTTACTATCCAGAAAAGTCAACTGCATTAAATGTCATTACTTTTAGGTATTATAATATTTTATTTATTTAATTAATTTATTTATTTGTTTTATTTTAAAAAAGTAAGTATAATAAAAAGATTTAAATAATAAAAAAATCAAATAACAAATAAAAATGTACACTTTGACTTATTTGATTATATTTGGTATTTGATTATACCAAATATATTCCTATTTAGTATATACATTAAATACTTACTAAAGTATTTATTTGTTTTATTTGTCAAAGTTAAGTATAGATTTGTTTATATTATCAAATCATAAAATAATATTAAATCCATATTGTAAAAAAAAAATCATATAATTTTATAACAATTCTACTACACTATTTAACAATATTTCTTTTTTATTATATAATAAAATAATAATTAAATATTATATGGTGAACAACAATAAGTAAAACTGTTACTTTCTCTTATATCAAGAGATAAATTTATATGCTAAAATTAAATTTTTATTAGTATAAATGTTTTAGTGAGATAATATATTAATTATTTTACAAGCTATCCCTAACATGCTCATATTTAATGTTTTAAAAGATGTAGAAAAAAAACTTATAATAACTCTATTGTTTTTTAGACTTAAACGTTGATTAAAAGAGGTAAAAATTCCTAATTTTTTAGACTTAAACGTTGATTAACACCATAGATTGAGAGTTTATATATAGTAAAATTCCTAATTGTAATAAAAAAAAATTAATTTTTTCTATATTTTAGAATATCTTTAAATTCATTATAAAAAAAAAGAAAAAAACTACAATGAAAAAAGCGAGTCAGCTATATATCGATTTGTTGTACTTCTCAAATCACATTCACAATTTGACTACAAGGAAAGGAAACTCATTGATCAAAATATTATTTTGTCAGTAGTCTTAATGTACAAGAGACTTTAAGACTCCAGTTGAATATTATAAAACTTTTATTGAACATTGTACAATTTTCTTGCGTATTATAAACCTTTATTGAATATTACCTCTTATAATATAATATTCTCCAAATAAATATATCTCGTGCTTCGCACGGGTCACATACTATATATATCCTGTACATTTTTCTTTATTCATGTAAATAATTATAAGTCTGGATAAATAGCCTTAAAGTTATGCACCCGTGCATCGCACGGGCTCTGTACTAGTAACAAATTAACAATACAAATGTCCATTCAAATATTTTGTCCAATTATAAACACGTTTATCAATTTCAAAATGGTACACAAAAGAGAACTAATTCTCATAGGTAATAATTTTGAAAACAAGGTCATTCCTCAATCACAATACAAATTATGTTAGGCCTAAGAACAAAAACAACACCACAGTAAGGTGAAGTTACAATATCAAATCAAACATACTATCAAGAACAATATCAAAAAGAATTTGAAGTCCAAAAATACCATCACCTAGCTTCCCCTACACTACTACCCAATAGCGTAAAAGGCGAGGTCGAAAAGGACCGAAACCCTCCATCGACCACCCTCGTCTCCCCAAACGAAGATGATGCAAACGAGTTAACATACTCTTCAAACCCTCCCTTATCCCCAAAATGCCCCTCTGGAGCCCTCAAAACACTCTGGCAACTCACTCTCGCCCTCCAAATAGCTCACGACCTGCCTCATCCCGGGCCTTGCCGTCTGCTCGTGGGCCGAACACATCAAGCCCAACTTCAACACCATCAAAACCTCATCCCGATCAAACCCACCACCTTTCATCCTCGGGTCCACCACACTCATAACCCTCCCTTCCTTCCACTCGCTCCACACATGTTCGGCCAATACGAAATCCTCGGGCCCGGATTTACGCTCAATGGGCCTACGCCCACATACAACCTCTAGCAAAAGAGCCCCAAACGCGAAAACATCTGAGCCCGTCGTGGCCCGGCCCGTCCTCGTTAGCTCGGGAGCGAGGTAACCTAAAGTCCCCACGACTCGAGTCGTCCCAGGGTTCGACCCGTGATCGTAAAGTTTCGCAAGCCCGAAATCCCCTAATCGAGCATTCATCTCGCTATCCAACAACACGTTACTAGCCTTCACGTCCCGGTGTATCACGACCTGTTCGTAGCCTTCGTGAAGGTATAGTAGGCCCGAAGCAACCCCTTTCACGATCCTGAACCTCTGTTCCCAGCTCAAGGCCCGTTCCGTATTGGGCTCGGGCCCAATTTCGAATAAGAATCGGTCCAGGCTTCCGTTAGGCATGAAATCGTAAACGAGAAGGAGGTCTGCCCCACGCCTGCACCAGCCCATCAGCTGAACCAGATTCCGGTGACGGAGCCGGCCGATGCTGGAGATTTCCGAGAGGAATTCGCGAACGCCTTGTTTCGAGTCGTGTGAGATTCGCTTGACGGCGATTTGGGTCTTTGAGTTGGGTAAGGTGCCTTTGTAGACCCGACCAAAGCCGCCGGAGCCGAGGAGTTCGCTGTCTTTGAAGCTTCTGGTGGCTTTTTTGAGCTCTTGGTATTTGTACCGATGAGGGACGATTTCGAGCTCCCAATTTTCAATTATCTCTGCGTTTCTGATTTTTCTGATTAGGAAAAGGGAAATTGAAATTAGGGCTAGTAAGAAGAGGAAAGCAGAGACAGTGAGGCCTATGGTCAGGCCTGTGTGTTTGATTTTAGTCCCTGGGATTGAAGGCAGGGAATGTAAATCCAACGGCGGAGCTTCTCCGATGGTTGTGAAGCTCCATCCAAGCAGGTAATGGGAGCTTGCGAGCAGGCCTGTGGAGGCGGAAAATCCGACGAACATAGTTTCGTGTAGAATCGGAGACAGATCTATTCTGTAGGAGAGGAGAGGGGTTAGGGGTTTTATCGACGACGGCGAGATGGTGACGTTGACGAGATTCGTACTGGAATCGTAGTCGATCCAGGCGACGATCGGCTTGCCGGACTTGAGATTGAGGTCGATCTTCGAACCCCCGGCGAAGTACGCCGCCGGGGCGGAGGCGTTGGAGCGGAGGGCGTTCGAATCGATGCCGACGTGGTTGTCGTTGACGTCGTTGAACTCGAAGTCCTGGACGGTGTCGAACTCGACGGCGAACAGGTGGTTGGAGGCGTTGCCGACGGTGGTGGAGTTGAAGAGGCCGAGGTACTGGCTGGGCTGGGCGGAGGGGAGGTCGCTCGACGGGGAGATCGCGAAGGCCAGGCCGTGGCCGCCGAGGCGGGGGTACTCCGGGTGGATGGCGACGGCGAAGCAGGTCGAGAAGGAGAGGACGGCGCCGGCGGTGGAGTTTTTGAACCGGACAGGGGTGTAGTAGAAGGCGTGGCCGATAAGCCGGCTGGTTTCGTTGGTGAGCTGGAGGATTCCGTTGCGGCCGACGGATGCGGCGCCGTTTAGGGTGATGGTGGTGTTCGGGTGGTTGAAGCCGGTGTAGGTGAACCGGACCGGCTGGGGTGAGGCTGGGATTGAGAAGAAAGTGAAAATGGTGAGTAGTGAGAGAAAATGAGCCATTATTAGTGCAGTGACAGCCATTGTTGCAGAGAGAAGGTGGAGAGTTTGGAGGTCTTTGTATTTTATCCATCAAGGAAACAGTCCAAAAAAGTCTCCTTTTGCTTAGGTTGGTCAGATGAAAATGAAAAGTGTAGTGTGGTATACTGTTTGGACCATTTTGTGCATTTACTCATTCTTTCTTATTCAATTCAACTTCACTCATTGGTGCATGGTGAGCACCCGTGAGTTTTGTTAAACAACTGGTTTGCTTCTGAGATTTGACTTGGCCCACCTAGTTAAAACTTAAAACTCGAGTTAATTGAAAACTCTTTTGGTTAAATTAATGCTTAATTTTTTATTTTTTTTGGTACAATGTATAAATTTTTATAAAATGTTATGCAGTTGGGGTCGATAAAGCTTGAGGTTGATTCGTTAATATTGATGAACGAACCTAATTCAAAATTGGCCCATTCAGGCAATGATAGCCGAACTCGACTCCGCTTGACTCATTTACACCCTGCACAGTAATTTAACCATTTGATGGGTTTATCGTCAAATATTTTTGTAACGAAAAATGTATATTATATGTTCAAAAAGTATGGTTGTTCAACTGTAACACTCTAAGCTCGGGAATTTTATGCTTGGCCTAGCTTGAAGAGCGGAGGGCTAACAAAAGCTCATGTATTATTGGCCCGGTTCACCCAAACACAATATACGATAATAGAAAATGTACCACTGGCTTTGGCCATTGGAAGTTGAAACTGAAGGCAAATCATGATGCACGACCCATCAAAAAGTTTGATGGAATTTAACGTGCATGTTGGTCTTATAGCAACAGGTCCAACGACCATCATATTCCCGCCATTGACTTGCTTTGCTCATACTTTGTCTGAACGGTAAATTGGTGGAAGACCCAAGTGGACAATGGACTTGGGAAAAATAAATTAATAATATGACTATTTTTTTTTTTAACAATAATTAATGAATTATTGGTGGTGATCAATTTGTCCTGCTGTAAAATAAACTACTAGTTAGTATATTTAGTTATTTACAATTACATAACAAAATCATATAATTTTATAACAATTCTACTACACTATTTAACAATATTTCTTTTTTATTATATAATAAAATAATAATTAAATATTATATGGTGAACAACAATAAGTAAAACTGTTACTTTCTCTTATATCAAGAGATAAATTTATATGCTAAAATTAAATTTTTATTAGTATAAATATTTTAGTGAGATAATATATTAATTATTTTACAAGCTAGCCCTAACATGCTCATATTTAATGTTTTAAAAGATGTAGAAAAAAATTTATAATAACTCTATTGTTTTTTAGACTTAAACGTTGATTAAAAGAGGTAAAAATTCCTAACTTTTTAGACTTAAACGTTGATTAACACCATAGATTGAGAGTCTATATTTAGTAAAATTCCTGATTGTAATAAAAAAAATTAATTTTTGCTATATTTTAAAATATCTTTAAATTTATTATAAAAAAAAGAAAAAAAAAACTACAATGAAAAAAGCAAGTCAGCTATATATCGATTTGTTGTACTCCTCAAATTACATTCACAATTTGGCTACAAGGAAAGGAAACTCATTGATTAAAATATTATTTTGTCAGTAGTCTTAATGTACAAGAGACTTTAAGACTCCACTTGAATATTATAAAACTTTTATTGAACATTGTACAATTTCTTGCGTATTATAAACTTTTATTGAATATTGCATCTTATAATATAATATTCTCCAAATAAATATATCTCGTGCTTCGCACGGGTCACGTACTATATATATCCCGTACATTTTTCTTTATTCATGTATATAATTATAAACCTGGATAAATAGCCTTAAAATTGTCCACCCCGTGCATCGCACGGGCTCTGTACTAGTAAAACATTTATGTGAGGAAAGCGAATCACTCTAGAGCGCTTAGAGTAATAATTAAAAGGGAAAAAATCCACTCTGTTCTTTTGACCTTAGTCATAAAAACCTTACTTTTTTTCCTTGGTCTAATTTAACAGTTTGTAATCTCATTACAAAAGAATTTGAACACGACACATTTGATCCATTTAGCATTTTCTGATTCATCTTACCATATTAAATACATTGACATGACATAAGCATACCCAAAAACAAATTCACCCTCATTAGATATGAAAGTTCAAGCTCGACGTGTATACTTGGGCTATATTTGATAAATATATAACTTAATTTATATTTGATAAATAAATAAGTTAATTTATAATTTATTTGATTAATTTATAAATTTCCTGTATTCAAATAAATTGTAGGATGAATTTTTTTTAAAAAGTTAGAGTTTATCTCATAATTAAGCTTCTTTAGGTAGCTAGTTGAAATTTTTATTTCAGGTATAGCTCAGCTAATTTCACCAAACACTTTTATTATATAAACTAGTAAATAAATAGAAGAAAAAGGAAAGAAATGAGAAAAAAGTTGGCGATGGTTTGTTTTAGGGCTTGTTTTTTTTTACCGAAAACCGAACGAAACCGCGACTCATTTGTAACGGTTAACCGAAAATCGGTTACCAAAATGTTATCGGTTCGATATTGGTTCCGAACTCATTAGAATTCGATTTGTATCGAACCGAACCGATAAAAATAATTGAAATACTTGGGATTAGGTTAAATAAAATAATAAATTAAGTTAAATAGTTAATACTTAATAGACAACTAAATCTTTAAATCTTAATTAATTAAAAAAAAAAGGGAACGGATACAGGAATAAAGGGCTGGGACGAGTTCAATGTTCATCACTTCAGCAGTTCATAATTGAGCCTCGACTGTCAGAAATTGAGCCTCGACTGTCGAATAATTCACCACTTCACCTCACCTCACCTTCACAGATCGCCTCCTTCGCCGTCTGACCTTCACGGCTTCACCGACTCACCTTCGCCGTCAGCCGTGCCCCAAGGTCCAAGGTAATGTAATTGGTTTTTCTATTTTGTGTTGTGAGTTTTTTCATAGGGATGAAAATTTAAATCTTCAGATTTGAAGTTAAAAGTTTCCACTGTTAAACTTTGTGTTTGTTCCAATTTTCCAATTTGTTCTTGTTCTTGTGCCCCAGCCCCAGCCCTAATTTTGTTGTTGTGCCAATTTGCCTGAGCCCTGATTGTTTCCACTGTTAAGGTTTGGTGCAGGGAAAATGTAACTTCAATTGATGAATGGGTGAAATTTAGAGTTATAAGTTCAATATTTTAAAATTAATTCATGCATAATTAGTACAGAGAACATGAATTAATTCAACCTTAAGTTTGATATACAGTGGCTGATTCCTAGAAAATTTGAATGGCTGCTCATGTTCATTTTATGTATTTAAGTGTTATAGTATTTTTTATGTGTTGTAGTATTTTATGTTCTGTTATGTGTTATGTATTTAAGCCTCTGTTATGCTCTATTAATGTCCCTGAGGAGATTTTATGCTCTGTTCATTAGTTCATTTAAGCCTCTGTTAATAGCCTATGTTAATGTCCCTGGCTGCTCATGTTCATTTTATGTATTTAAGCCTCTGTTACACGATCACTGAGGAGATTTTATGTGTTATGGTATTTTTTTTTTTCCCTTTTTTTTGGTTTTTTATCGGTTTAAACCAAAACCGAACCGTTTTATCGGTTACCGAATTCTTGTCGGTTCGGTTTCGGTTTGCAAATTAGTGAAACCGATTGTGTTTGGTTCGGTATCGGTTTGATGGTATCGGTTCGGTTACCGAACCAAAACTTTGTTTTGGGTCAAAGACAGAGCCCCCTAAGTCATAACCCTATCTGTGTAATTTCCTTTTCTTTCTATAAATCAATTTAAAAAAAAATGGCATGAATGAATTTTCTGAAACCGCAGACCATTGCAATTTGGTTCCATATATTGTACGTTTTTCTCTCTTGAACTGTTTGGTTTTATCTCCCTCATATCAGTTAGTTGATTCTGTAATTAGATATTGAAATGGGTGTGTTCATCTGTTGCCACCATTATTGAGACATCACTTTTCTTTGTTATCTGTTTTTAGTTTTCTTTGATTTATGGTCTATATGAAAAGAAGATGTTTGTATTCAAATTGTTTTTGTTGAACTTTTATCGTGCATAATTCATTGATTGTGTTGTTGTTTTGTTGGATTGGTGGTGGCGACTGTAGACCTCGTTAGTTGCAGGTTACTGGTTAGTTGTGTATTACTTGAAAATCAAGAACTAATCAGATTGTTTATACATATCCAGAAAATAATTGGAAGAACTTGAAGATGATCAATTTTGTTGTAGGGATTTTTGGTCAATGTGATTTTCAAGTTCTTGAAACTGAGACATCAAACCATTTAGCAAGGTGAAGGTGAGTTTATTATGAGTACTTCACAAGTGTTGGAGGTTTAGTTCTTTCAGTACTTCTTACGGACCTTCATTTAGTTATTTTTGGCTTTTTACATGTTACCTGGTCATGCATATATTAATTTTTTTCACGTGAGATGAGTTTTTGCTAATAAACACATCGAAGTGCAATTATGCATACCGTGCTTGAAGTTTCGTAGTAATTCTGGTGGAGCTCTTGGCGATCATTGCGAGATTAGATTGTTCAAGCAAGTGAGTTGCAATATTCAAAATCCATACTTAGCCGCAGAGAGATGCTCTTCCGCGTGGCGTCCTTATCCCCTAACAAGACCTCCTTCCTCCTTTCCTGCTTCTCCAGAACCACCGATTCACTGTTTTTCCATTCCAAACGCTTTAATAATCTCCAACACAACTACGTTTGGTTGCCGGTCAAGCATATTGCCACAAACCAACCAAAGAATCCCATTTCAACGGCGAGAAAGGCTACGCACAATTATTCCACCACTTCCGCTCAAGCTCTTGTCCAGGAACCTCCAAATTCGAGCACCCGAAGATCCCGTAAGAAAGAACGCCGTGAGTCCCCAGAGATGATTCTCCGCGTGAACCTCGATCAGTGCTCCAGCAGCGGCAACTTGGATAGCGCCCTTCTCTTGTACAGCGAGGCCAGGGGCAATAACGTCCAACTCAATGTACATCATTACAATGTATTGCTCTATCTCTGTTCCAGCACTGGCAATGGTGAGGTGGATGCCGGAAAGTTGGACAAAGGGTTTGAGATTTTTAAGCAGATGCAGATCGACAAGGTTGTACCGAACGAAGCCACGTTTACCAATGTCTCGAGGCTGGCGGCCGCTAAGAAAGATCCTCAACTGGCTTTCGATTTGGTCAGACAGATGAAGGAACAAGGGATAGCTCCGAAGCTACGGTCTTACGGGCCCGCATTGTTCGGGTTCTGCGGGGAAGGTCTTGCTGACGAGGCGTATGAGGTGGACTCGCACATGAAGGAATGTGGGGTATCCCCTGAGGAGACCGAGCTTTGTGCTCTTCTAAGAGTTAGTTCTGAAACTGAGAGAGATGGGAAAGTGTATGAAATGATGCATAGGCTGAGGTCGACAGTGAGGCAAGTTTCGGAGGAGACTGCAGCTGTGGTGGAAGAGTGGTTTAAGTCGAATAAGGCTGCGCGAGTCGGGAATGAGAAATGGGATAAGGGTAAAGTGAGGGAAGGAGTTTTGGAGGGTGGAGGTGGGTGGCATGGGCAAGGGTGGTTGGGAAAAGGGAGTTGGAGAGTGGTGAGGACGAGTATGGACGAGAGAGGGGTTTGCGGGTCGTGTGGGGAGAGGCTTGTCTGTATCGATATTGATCCGGAAGAGACGGAGAATTTTGCAAAGTCGCTGTCGAGAATGGCCTGTCAGAAAGAAGCTGGGACAAACTTTGTGAAATTTCAGGTATCGGCTTGTTTTTGTGGTTGTTACTTTGAGGTTGTTGTGGATGTGCTTGCTTTTGTGCGTGTACGACAAATTATGTTATTGTGGTGTGATGATTTTAGTAGAAGTTATCTTATATGGTTAGTTTTATCGTGTACTTGTGTTATCTGACAGAATGCATTTCTCGTTCTTTATTTGAGTACCTTTTAATTGATGAAATTAGCTTTTTCGTAACCTTTAGGTTAGTTTTTAAGAGTTTGTAAACTGGTGAAATGCTTGTAGATGCGCGTTTAAATATGTTGTTCAAGTGTTGCTCAAAAGTCTTTTAGAGATTGAGACTTAATATATCCCCATTTGAGGGTCAATGTAAGCATACTACTGTTTTCTAAGAGTCTGCATCAATGTGAGTGCATGCATGTTCTTATTAATATTTTTAAGAAATCGATTAGGCTGTAGCTTACAACTTTGCTAGCCGAGTAATGCGATTTTAAACTAAGAAAAAAATGTTCTGAAGAAAAATTGTGTTAACCCTTTTGTTGTGTGGATGTAATTTTGGCAAACAAAGTGGTGGAGGGTGGGGTTCCACACCTTTAGTTTCCGAGGGAAGCAATCCATGTTAAGAGAACTTATGCTTTTATTAATTGAAATATGAAAGCATGTACTGTCTGATTCTCGTTGCAAAGGCTCCCTACTTTTTACATGATTCAGCACTTTGGTTCAAGAATATGATTTTGTGTGTAATGCTGAATAAATGGTTTCAGGAGTGGCTTCGACAGCGTGGTCCATTTGATGCTGTGATCGATGGTGCTAATTTGGGGCTTGCTAATCAACATAAATTCAGTTTCCCTGAGGTAAAAAATGAATTGTTTTTTTTCACTGCATATATTCCTATGTGTCTTAGCATATTCTTGAGCAACATATACAAATGATTCACATCGGTGTTTTTGCTTGTTTGGAGATTGCGAGAGTTGTGAATCAAATGCGTCAGATCAGTCCTTCAAAGAAATTACCACTTGTTGTTCTACATCAGAGCCGAGTAACTGGTGGTCCAGCTCAGCATCCTAACAACAAGAAATTGCTGGAAAGCTGGAAAAAGGCAGGGGCACTTTATGCGACGCCTCAGGGTTCAAATGACGATTGGTACTCAATATTTTTTATTTAATGTTGCAATAGTTTTCTACTTCTTTTCTTTTTTTTTTTTTGGTTTGTCATATATTTTCTCAATTTCTTGTTTTTATTACTGATTAGTAAGCTATGCTTTAATTTAATTGATTTTCAATTACTCAATTACACCTCGATTATTCATATATATATGCTGCTGATTACATGTTCAGTAAATCAAGCTTTTGAGACTCCTTGAATGTAGAACATATGTCGTCATTCAAAGTTATTAAGTGCTTGGAATCAAGATGAGTTTTTTTGTGCCAGTTTCATTTGACTTCTTTGATAAGACACTTCCTTTGAATCGAAAATTACAACTATAACAGAGTTGTTTATTTCAGTCTTATTGAATGACAATTGACTTACAGAATCACTGAGCCACTGCCTGTCAGTCTGAGAAACAACATGAGGATTTGAGAGAACATAAATTTGAATCCATATGCTCTGATAGGCGTACTAGACAACTTTGTTTCATTATATCATTGTGTTTTGGATAAACTCCACAGACCAAGCTTCCTTTCATCAAGTGTTCTAATATAAAAAGAATCTAATATACTGTTTTAACTTCTTTTACAGCTTCCTTTCATCTGTTATGTAATTTTTTTTTGTCATCTTAGCTTTTGGAATTACAATTTACATGCATCTCCGAATACTCATCATGTTACTAAGACATTCCACTTTAGTTGTGGCATTCTCATTACTCTCTGTCTCTCTCTCTCTGTCTCCCTTTCATTCCCTTTCTCGTTAATAGGTATTGGTTGTATGCTGCTGTGAATTCAAAGTGCTTGCTGGTTACAAACGATGAGATGAGGGACCACTTGTTCAATCTTTTAGGCAATAACTTCTTTCCTAGATGGAAAGAGAAGCATCAGGTAGTTTCTTTCATTCGTGGCTATTACGTTATTGTTTATCCAAAAAATTCAAAGTAACAGCCATTAGTTTAACAAAAGAGTATTGTTGCGTTGTGATGGGTAATTGGTCACTGACTGTAAAGAAATGAAAGGCATTTACATTCTAAATCTTGCATGCAGGGAAAACAACAAAGAAGCCTGTTGTGTATTTACATGTAAATATTCACGAATCTACAATATCGAATGAAAGCAAATCAAAATTATGAAACATCTCTCAGTCTTTTTATTTTTTTAATTTTTTTTTTTATTTGGGTTCTTGTAATTCAATGAATTGCAGGTCCGGATAAAACCTTCTCTTAAAGGGCTACTAACCTTGCGCATGCCACCTCCTTATTCACTTGTCATCCAGGTAGGATAATCCTTCAATCATCTATATCCATTATTTTCATATCTGAAGATTAGTCACTCTTGTGTTTACTGCAAAAACGATTCCCAGGAATCTGAACAAGGTAGTTGGCATATACCGACTGTTACTGGAGATGATCTTGAGACCCCAAGACAATGGATTTGCGCTACAAGGATGAGACCACAGGTTTAGTCCCCATCATTCCATGTAAGATGAGAGATGAACATATACTGATATTCTGGAATTCATTCTGCTTGGATATTCTTTCTGCCTTCAACCATGGTCTTGTGTAAGCTTAGAAGGAAATTAAGAATCTTGGTCATAAATGCAATGTTTAAATTAAAAATGAATGACCAAATGTGTAATACCTTTGGCAAGGGTCCTTTTCTGATTATTATTTACTTCATACATTGTCTTTTTGTTTTACAGCATGTGTATGGTTGTTCAATTTCAGTAAAGTACCTTAATCAATCCTTTAGGTGTTACAAGCAGATAAATTAGGGGATGCAATGTGATATATTAATAGAATACAATTGTGCTAGAGGAAAAGTGGGGAAAGAAGATGTCCAGAGTTGCAGCAAAACTTTAATATTTTTCATTATTATTCATGGTATTTGGTACAAAAGTGAAAAGCCCCACTGAATCTAAATTTTATTTCAGAAAAAAAGGGACTATTAGCAGCATTACTTTTCGAAGCTGCATTCTTTCAATATATCAGTTCGAAGATGGCAGCTATAAATAATATAATCAATACGAAATTAAGCTTTGAAGGACTGAAAGCAGACGGCAATACATTGCTGTTTCCAGACATTTTTTCTTTAACTTGGATGCTTGATGAACCCGAGGCAACTTGCAACGAATATGGTTGTGAGTAACACGTCTGGAGGTTTTTACAACTCACAACTTGCAAAGAATAACTTACAAATAATTCGATTCTAGCTAATTGTTCGAATTACCTCTCCATGTTTAAGATCTTGTGTTCATTGATTAATTTAATTACTGACAATATAATTAATCAATTAATCTATACCACTCAGTTCTTTAATACTATGTCGTAAACAAATCTGCCTGCAAAGCTTAACATAATAATTTTTCATGAACTCGTTTCGAGAACGTCATCAACCCAGCAGACGGGGACACAGTGAACGTAAACAATCTCTACAGCACATCATATATTCGGTCATTACTTTCCAAAATACAGTCTGTAGACCTACCATAATAAGTCCCAGCCATGGTAAATCAAATAAACAAGGGACTGGTTGCTGAGCTGTAAAGTAGCCTTGATAATATTGTCTTATCCCATCATTCAAAAAATGAGCCCTAAAGGTATTGGTTAATGATATCAAATGATAATATAATCTCATGTGTCAATGAAGTGTGTTGGACTCATTTTTTCACCCTTTTCCCATCTCATGGAAGTTGGAACTTGAGCGTCAAATATCCTCTTATCTTATCGCAGTATCCCTCCCCTCTTTTGTGCTCTAGGGTTTGGAACGGAGGCAATTTGCTCTAATTAAGTTATTCTCTGGTATAATTTTCATTGTAGCTACTCTGAACAAGCGTTTCTTTTCTTTATTTTTTTTTTCAGTCGACAAGATTGATTGGTGAAGTTCAAATTCGTTTGGTATGTGTACAATGCATTCTGATTAGGGTTCTTAGTTCAAGAAGTGGGTTTTAGAAGGCGCCAATTGTTGGTGTTATCATTTCCCCCTCTTCAGTTTTGGTCGAGCAAATTCCCCTAACAACTGTATAATTTTTTTCACGTGAGATGAGTTTTTGCTAATAAACACATCGAAGTGCAATTATGCATACCGTGCTTGAAGTTTCGCAGTAATTCTGGTGGAGCTCTTGGCGATCATTGCGAGATTAGATTGTTCAAGCAAGTGAGTTGCAATATTCAAAATCCATACTTAGCCGCAGAGAGATGTTCTTCCGCATGGCGTCCTTATCCCCTAACAAGACCTCCTTCCTCCTTTCCTGCTTCTCCAGAACCACCGATTCACTGTTTTTCCATTCCAAACGCTTTAATAATCTCCAACGCAACTACGTTTGGTTGCCGGTCAAGCATATTGCCACAAACCAACCAAAGAATCCCATTTCAACGGCGAGAAAGGCTACGCACAATTATTCCACCTTTAAGATAAAACTAGTGTTCGACCTGTGCATTTGTACAGATGTAAATAAAATTAAATATTATAAGTTATATTTATGTATATAATATAAAAATTATAAGTTATATAATTGTATTATATTTCAAACATATCGTATTATAAGTTATATTTAATATAAAAATTATAAGTTATATAATTGTATTATATTTCAAACATATAGTATTATAAGTTATATTTATGTATATAATATTAAAATTATAAATTATATAATAGTATTATATTTTAAAATTTGATCATTGGTTAAAATAAATAGTACACACGATTTGATTGTATACAAATCACTATATTGATTGCATAAAATGCAAAAAGTATATAATTTTTATAATTTTGAGTGATCATGACCAATTAATTAGCTGAAAAATATTACATTTATTATAACAATTGCTTATGTGATTTTAAGAAATTTTACTATGACATAAAAAAAATTAATTTATTAATAAACATCATCTTCATCATATAAAAAAATATTGATTTTACACTGTAAAATATAATTTTATGTAACTTTCATATATTATTTAGTATAAAATATAATTACTAATTTTAATACTAACTATTATATTATTCAATAAAAATATAATTATTAATCAATTAACATAAAATATAATGGTTTTTGTCTTAATTAACCCAAAAAATGTAATGAAATATTTTCTTATTAATGAGATTGGGTGTATTAATGCCACATAAATAAAATTTATTAGGTTCTATTTATTAGATTTTATTAATGATTTGCCACATTAAAATTTATTAGATTTTATTTATTAAGTAAAATTTATTGCTTAGCTAGCAATTATATATATATA